AAATTTACACTTCTCCAACCAAATCATGTGTACAAAATTTATATATTAAAGTGTGCATATAAAGGCATATATTTGCACAAATAATAAAAAATGGATTATATTGGGGAAATTGCTTTGCAAAAATGTGTATATTAGACAAAATTGCATTTAAAAACTTGTATAGAATATGTATAGGAGGAGAAATTCACTAAAAATTGCTGGTGAATTTTCTTGGGAACTTAAAAAATATGTACTTCAAAAGAATGGGGAAATGTGGAGAACTGAGTTAAAGACTGGAAAAATGAGAAACTGAAATTGACAAATTTCCCCACCCCTCCTTAGTCACCCTTGTCCTGCCTTGAACAACAGATTGTGAAAGAAATTGCTGATCAGGACACAACCCCATGGCGGTTTGCAGGTGTGAACGTAACCTAAACCTTTGCATGTCTGAAGAGGAAGGATTGTGGTCTGTGGGCCAGAGAAATACAACCCACTAGAACACAGTTCAGCGCAGGCATTTACACCCACACAGAAACAGTTGGCAGGATAACAAATATTTGAGAAGTCCAGTCGAAATATCTCAATTCGTGGAAGTGTGTTGTGCCACATTCTCTGCGCGAGGCAGAGACCTTCAGCCACCTGCCAACTGAGAAAAGTGGAACATTAAGCCCCTATGGTCAGGTGGGCAGAACTCAAATTCTGCCATGACCTCAATCCATTAAGAGCGCAGGTTTGCTTTCCAAATCTCAAGGGACTTCTTACTCGGAGCAAACTGTGGAATATGTGCACGGGGGAAAAAGAGCCTTGATTTAGGAGAGGTCGCTGTTCGTACACCTGATAAAAATCAAAACACAGGATTGACTTTCCTCTCGGTTCGCTTCGCTTTTTTGGCACACTTCGCCTTCAGCTGGCAGAGCGGGCGAAAATCCATTCTCCTTTGGGTCATTAAACAAGCCATTTCCCCTCCAAAGGGAAGGGGGGGCACTCTGTACGTCTGCGGCCCTGCTGGCCCTACCAAGGCCTGCTCTCCCTCTCTCCTCTCCCCCCCCCCACCTTGCCCATCTCCAAGGCTTTCTGGGACATCAGGCACATGGATTGGAGGTCTGCATTAGTATGAAAGCAGCGCACACATCTGGAAGTCCCTTCGGTTAATTGGGCAATTATTCATACCACACTTTCTGGAAGGAGCCTTGTTAAAGGCTGGCCAAGAGCAACAATGGAGTGTGGGCTATGCCCCACCCCTCCCAGCAATTGTATAGCTAGAGCTGAAGGGGGGAGTCGAGGAGAGGAGAGGAGAGGACATTGGGCAGTGGCAAGGATGGAGGAGGAATGTATTACTGTATTCAATCCACAGGACGTACCAGCATTTGGAAATCCTTTTTCATTCCAGCCTGTAACGAAAAGTCTAGATGATGGTGATGGTGATGATGAGCTGTGGCTCAGTGGTCTGCTTTATGCACTAAAGTTTTCGGTTTCAGTCCCCGGCATCTCCAGGCCATGCTGCGAAAATCTGAAAGGCTATAGAGCTGTTGTTGGTCTGCATAGCGAATGCTGAGCTTGATGGGCCAGTGGTCTAACCTGGTATAAGGCAGTTTCCTATAGTGATTGTGCCTGTAATGTCTTGGTGTGGAAGCTGAGGGCCAGGGGCCAGATGTGACTGCCTAGGCCAACTTGTCCAGCCCTGCTCAGCTCTCCTTGGGTCACACCCCTCACTGCCCCAAATGTTTTTGCCTGGCTGGGATGATGAAGATAATAATCTTCCGCTTGATATTGTGAAGTGTACAGTGGTACCTCAGGTTAAGAACTTAATTCTTTCTGGAGGTCCGTTCTTAACCTGAAACTGTTCTTAACCTGAGGTACCACTTTAGCTCATGGGGCCTCCCACCATTGCCGTGCCACCGCCACACGATTTCTGTTCTCATCCTGAAGCAAAGTTCTTAACCCAAGGTACTATTTCTGGGTTAGTGGAATCTGTAACCTAAAGCGTCTGTAACCCAAGGTACCACTGTATTGTGAAGTGTGTCTTTGAGGGTGAAGCAGTGACTATGGTGGCTGTAGAGCCCAATACGGGAGAGACATGTTTTGTTGCAGCTCGGGCAGATGAAGGCATCTGGTTTTGCTGCTGCAGATGCACCATGGTGTTTCTTCCCTCTGTGTTCCTTCCATCGATCATTCCTCCCCAGGTCACTGCTATGAATATAATACCTGACTGTCTGGATCCAGCACTGCGGTTGTCTGGAAGGAGTTTCCACACAGCAAGGTTGACATTGCCACATGTCACATTTGCATGAACACAGAGTAGGTCTGCCAATGGGCCTGGTGCCTGAAGCCAGCTCCCCATAGAGCATGTCCTTAAGCTTTCCAAATCTCCTTAAGGATCCTGCTATCTTCTATTCTGTGGGCATGACCAAGCCAGCGTAGACGTCACTGAGACAGGAGTACAAACATGCTTTGCTTAAAACTCTGTCCTTCCCCTGTTCAGCGTGAACCAATCTCGGGTCTTTTCTGATGCATCACTGATGTTACCACTGCTGAAGTTTTCAGGCTTTCCATAGCAAGAAACAATAGCAATGAACAGCTACCCTGTTTCCACATACCCATGTCAACTTCCCAGAGAAGGCAATGTGCTTACAGGAAAATGTCAGAAAGGAGAAGGTGTGCTAGGATCCAAACCAGGTCCCTGCCTCTTTAAGATCTTATTTAAGAACTTCCATTCCTTAAAGAAGAGACAGACTCTAGGAGGGGTAAATTGGCCCTGGGTGCTTAAAAACCTTCAAAGTCCGCTTCGTTGCAGCAGGTTGTTAACTTGGATCTGTAATTAACTTTGATCATGTGTCCCCATCATTTTAATAACCACTTCATTGTGGCAGGTGGATCAGTTTTGTTTTCTCCTTATAGGCTAATGCTATTTTAAACACTATTAAGATATGTATACCATCGTTCTCCAAGCACTAGTAGGTAGTTCCTTCTTATCTCCACAAGGGGTCTCACATTCTCAGTGTTTGACCTCGAATCACTGAGGCTACAATCTTCACCTGGAAATAAGTCCTGCTACCTGCACTACAAACTGTGGGAGGCAGTGGAAGACAGGAGTGCCTGGCGTGCTCTGGTCCATGGGGTCACGAAGAGTCGGACACGACTAAACGACTAAACAACAACAACCTGCACTACACATTTAAAGCAGTATCATATCTACTTTAAACAGCCATGGTCTCTACTAAAGAATCCTGGGAACTGTAGTTTGTTCAGAGTGCTGAGAGTTGTTAAGAAAACCCCACCCAGAGCTACGGTTCAGGAGTCCCCTGCAAGCAGGACTGAATGTAAAACCACTCTGAAAATTCTAGTTCTGTGAGGGGAATGAGTGCCTCCTTACAACTCTCAGCACCCTGAACAAGCTACAGCTCCCAGGATTCTTTGGCGGAAGCCATGGCTATTTAAAGTGGTATGGTGCTGCTTTAAATGGATTGTGTAGATAGGCTCCCAGTCCATTCTTAGGATTGCAATGTGAATGTTGTTATGTACAGTCATACCTCGGGTTACAGGCGCTTTAGGTTGCGTTTTTTCGGGTTACGGACCCGCCAAAACTCGGAAGTACCAGAACAGGTTACTTCCAGGTTTCAGGGGTCGTGCATGTGCAGAAGCGCTAAATTGCGCTTTGCGCGTGCACAGAAGCGCCGAATCGCAACCCGCACATACACAGACGCACTGCTGCGGGTTGCGAACGTGCATGCCGCACGGATCACGTTCACAACCCGAGCGTCCACTGTATACCACATTCAAATGAGAAGCCATTTTTGCAAGCTTCCTACTAGCTTAGTCTTTAAAATACTGTACAACTATCCATAGTCATTGGAAAGTACTCTGGAATGCAGCAGAAATGAAACATCCTCAGCACAGCATCAGCGGTGTAGCGTGGGTTGCCAGTGCCCAGGGCAGGCAAACTGCCAACACTGTTGGAGCACGCGCCCCCCACTAGAGCCAAGTGGGGCAGGGCTGTGCTGTGCTGTGCTGTGATGCCTGCCAGCCCATGCGGGCAAATCCCCCCGACTGCCCACAGTCTAAGATGGGCAATGGGATAAACTACAGAGGGATGGGAGGGAAAAACCAGGGAATAGATTGATTTGTGTAATGGTCACAATTTGGGATTAAGGGTTGACATGCAGCCATTTCCACCTGGTTGTGTCTGAGGGGGAAGACATTCAGCAATGGTCCAACTGCCATTTTGGCTCCTCTGCGGCCATTCCAGCTGGTTATGATACAGTCATATTTAAATTTAAGAATGAGGAATATGTGTGATTACTGTCACTAGAGCCTAAAATATTATTTTTGAGCCAAAACATAATTTTACATGATATAGAAGTAGTGGCAAATTTCACTGCTGGTAAAATGGGTATATGTGGGATATAGCACGCCATCTGTTTCAGATTGGATTGACAAAATGATGTTTACCTTTCCATATTATAGAAGGCCATGTAATGAGCAACCAATTACATGTTTAGAAATATGGATTTCACTGTTACTTGTGGTGTTTTGGAATTATAAATTTCAAGATATATGCTTTCACATATCTTTTTTTGCAATTATATATAGTTGTTTTCCACATGTCAACGTGTATAATCAAGTTTTTTTAAAAAAAAAACCTAAGATACATCGCCTTTTAGGTATAGGCCCTATAAGGAGACATAAAAACTAAAGAAGATGCAACTAAGATACATCTGAGGAGATAAAAATAACAGAGTAAACACAGCTAACACTGCAGGGATATTTTCAACGGCCTTCACCGCGCCCTCTGAGCAACAGCTGTGAGCTATGGAGCTCCTTAAAAAAATATAAGCCACGCCCCCCCCTCCTGGCCGTCGCCGTGCACGAGGAAAGGGGAAAGGCGGGGGAAAGGAAAATACAGAGAGAATAACGCCGCAGCCTGCGAGCGCGCGATGCAGGAGCGGAGCGTGCACGCACGCACGCCACGGGAGCACGCGCCAAGGTTTCTCCTCCCGCGCCGAAAAGTCTCGTGCGCGGCCGTAAGCTCCGAGACGACCTTACTACGCATGCGCCTCGAGCCGCTATTTATAATCTGCTCCGTTCGCGGCCGCCGCAAGGGCTCCCGTAGGAGGTGTGTACATGGATGAACTGTGAGGTTGGTGAGTAGAGAAAACGCGGGGGGCGGGGGCGAGCTAGAGGAAGGAGAGGGAGATAGAATGGTATGAAAGTGCGCCTGCGCGGGCTGGGTCTTACGAGCTGGTACCTGAAGTGGGGCCAGAGGTAAGAGGGGCCGGGCGCGGAGGGAGGGCGCGAGGGCGCACTCAGCCTGCGGGGGGCGCCTCCGACCCACACCTCTTGCCGGGAGAGGGGGCTGGGAGCAAAGGCAAGGTGGAGACGGCCGTTTTAGCGTTGGGTGGGGTGGGCGAGGTATTTTTGTGGAGAGCAGCTACTGTGGGAGAAATACAGGAATACCCTGGAAGGGCAGGCTGAGCGGGGTCTCTCCTCACTTGCAGGGTTTCCTTTCAAGCCGGAGTCCTCTTCTGTTTTTCATCCTTTTCCCCCGTCCCAGTTTCCAGAAATGGATTTGTGGAGTGTGTGGAATAGTTTACACAAAAGGGGGCAGTGTCCTTGAGCATGAACAGAGTGCTGCCGCCAAGGAGCCCGCTGTGCGTCTACATTTTGGGTCTGTGTGTGTGGCGTGCAGTGAATACGGTGTCAAGGTAGAATTCAGGAGTTCCTGGTCTGATTGACCCCACTCAGCCCCATAGCATACTAGGTGACATTGGGGTCAGTGACACATTCTCAGCCTTAACCTGCTGCACGGGGTGGTGGTTAGGATAAAAGGGGTGTGGGGAGAGAACAGTGTGTGTTGCTTTGAACTCCGTGGAGGAATAAGGTGGGTTATTATTTTAAAAAATATAGAAAAGCTCTCCAAATGATGTGAATCCCAGCAGCTTTTCTTCTAGACATTTGGTCACCTGTAATTGTGTGGAAGAAAGACCCTTAAAGCAGAAGTATTCATCCCTTTCACACTCCAGACCCACCATCTTAGCCCCAACTTGCAGCACTGGATAAGACTAGTATTGTTATCCTTGAATTGGAAGTGACTCTGGGGAGTCCAACCCCTTGCAATGTGGGAATCTCAAGTACATGGCCATCCAAGCTCTGCTTACTTAAACACCTCCAAGGAAGGCGAGTCCATCACCTCTCATAGGAATTTGTTTCACTGTTGAACAGCTCTTACTGTTATAAAGCTCTTCCTGATGTAGTAATGCCCTGTTTTCTGTTGTTTTCATCTATACTAACCTCCTTTCTCCTTAACCTCCACATTTCTGCTGCACCCATTTGCCTTCTCTTTTAAAAATGAAATGAAAACCAAAGACACAAGAAAAGTGGTTCAACTGGGGCACCTGCTTGAGGTTGGGCTACAACCCCGTGTTGCATCCTAGCCCATTACATGAAGGCCAGGGTATGAAGAAATCTGATAATGATGAGATAATTTTTTAAAAACCATTGAAACAGAGTTATGTACAAGTATTGGGTGATGTTCAACCAAGTTTTATTCAGAGTAGTGCCGCTGAAATTAATAAACATTACTAAGTTAAGGCCTTGAATTTCAGTGGGTTTGTTCAGAGTAAAACTCAGCTGAATGCCACCCATAGGCGATTGAGGGCTGAATTAGAGGCCCAGCTTGCATTCCTACAGATGGAAATACAAAGTCTTGATTCCTAAAGATTGACATGGGACATTTAAAACACTGAATTTCCAGGCAAATGCAGTATGAGGGGAAGGGTGTCCTCCTGGAAATAAGCCCCACTGATACGGTGGGACTCCCCAAATACATAACTATATAGAGGATTTGTTTACACAACTCCACCCACATAATTGGCATCCTTGCTATATCCTCTACCTTCTCTTTTGACTAGCCGTGTGTTTTCCAGAGTGAGCACTGAAATTTCTACCCACCCTCTGGCCGTAAAATATGGTTGGTGACATTAGGGATGTAATGGTGCTTATCTGATATGGGGGCGGGGGGTTGCTAGTTTGGGAAATATGTAACTGGAATCAGATGCTGAGGCTCTAAAGCAGGCAGCCCCAAACTCGGCCCTCCAGATGTTTTAGGACTACAGTTCCCATCATCCCTGACCACTGGTCCTGTTAGGTAGGGATGAAGGGAGTTGTAGTCCCAAAACATCTGGAGGGGCAAGCCTGACCTAAAGTGAAGCAGTTGCTACCTCTAGAATGGATGTTGATACTGCAAGCAGCCTGAATTGTTCGTAGTTACAGAGTGGTTGTTGTATAAACACAATAAACTAGGTTTAAAGGCATGTTTAAGTGCCTGTTTATGTTTTTCTTAATCATGTGATGCATGAATCTTATGCACTAAACTGTTCAACTTGAAATTGCCAATATCCTGTAGGTTAAATAAACAAAAAACTTGCCCTTTTAATACTCTTTGCACTGTGGATTATATTTTAAAAAGCCTGTATCTCTCAGGCCTAAGATTTTGAAATTACTTAAGATGTTTGCTGTATCGCTTCAGAATGCATGTTCCCCTGAAAATGTTTTCCGAAACATTCATGAATTTGTAATTAATTAGACTGATTCCAACCATGAGTTATCAATTAGGCCATTTGTTCTCATGACTCCTGAATCTGCCTATATCTGTAGGGTGGGGGAAAGGATTTTTTTCCAGCCCTGAATTTAATTGGTAATTGAGCAATCTTAGCCGCATTCGCACTTCCCTTTCTTTGAGCAGTTACTGCAGTAGTAGTAACTTCTATTTCCACATGCATGCTATAGTTTATCTGGTTTTCTTTTCCCACACTGGGAACCTGTGGGGGTTTTTTACAGCAAATAGAGATGTATTGATGGTTTTTTTAAAGATCTTACATCATATTTCATAAGATCACAAGTTTTGAATCCTGAAACACTTGGCAGCCTTATTGTTGGCGCTGCTGGGCTCTTGGAACTGATGCTGATAAATAAAGTGAGGGGGGAACCCACCTTCTAAACAACCCCAGAAAAAAACTGACTATGACTGTGATTGTGAAAACCTGCACCACACAGTCATTTACATATCTAAGCAAACTGTATTTCATTTCACTGAGAACATGCTTGAATTAGCTTCTGCCCATTTTGTAAAGGGTAGCCTTACATGGCAGCCTTACATAATATACAGTGGTGCCCCGCAAGACGAATGCCTCGCAAGACGGAAAACCCGCTAGACGAAAGGGTTTTCCGTTTTGGAGGTGCTTCGCAAAACGAATTTCCTATGGGCTTGCTTCGCAAGACGAAAATGTCTTGCGAGTTCCTGCAGGGTTTTTTCCTCCCCCCCCCTTTTTCCCAAGCCGCTAAGCCGCTTAACAGCTGATCCGCTAAGCCGCTAATAGCGCTAATCCGCTAAGCCGCTAATGGGCTTGCTTCGCAAGACGAAAAAACCGCAAGACGAAGAGACTCGCGGAACGGATTCTTTTCGTCTTGCGAGGCACCACTGTATGTATAGTAAGCTCCAAATCATCACTTTTTTAAAAGGGTGTTTCTTGTTTTTTTGGTATGGTAAAAATCAGTGTGTTTGTGCACAACCTAAATAAACCGGACATTGTTTTTACTGCACACGCAGGACCTAATCACAGTATCTCTTTTTAAGAGTCACAGAGGCAAGAAGGAGGTTGCAGTGTTTACTAACCCCAGGTGATACCTGAACTTGTGGATGTGGGCTGGCCCAGTATGGTGCGTGACTGTTGACTTATCAGCAACTGACCACTTTTAACATTTACCGGTATATTTTTATAAGCTGGAGGTACAGCTAAGAGAACAGAATCATTTTAAGACATATTAGGCTGGAAGGGGGGTACACAGCTGCCAACTTAAGTGAGAGAAACAGGGAGGAGAGGAAATTGGTTTGGGACTCTTATGGGGAAATAGAGGATAAAATTAGAAGGGAATCAGGGAAGCAAAAAGGAACCTGTAAAAAATCATTTTCAGGACATGAGGGGCAAGGAGTGGTAATAGCTTTGGTTATGACAGAAGACAATAAATATGTCCTTGTTACTAAGCAGAATTTCCTCATCCGTTTTCAAATTGCTTTGATCATATAATTTCATCAGATTGAGGAAAATATGCTTGATGCTAACTGCCCAGCGTGTTTTCTTTTTTAAGGCTTGCACAAAACTACATATTTTTGTAGGCATTGCTCTGAGCAGTCCTGCTATATATTATTCTGTAGTGTTATTTTGGGGACATTTCTGCATGCATTGTCTCTTACTGCTTAACAACATTTGTGCAGAAGCCCACAAAAATAATAGTAATAGCATACTACCCACATCCAACTCCCAGTAGTCTTCCCCTTCATACAGCCCCTCTTATTTCTTTTCTTTTGGGGATTTTAAGAACAAATTCAGACAGATTGCACCTTTACATTTAGACTAATGTTTCTATGTTATCAGAGGCACTTACTTCTTGCATCCTTTTCCACATCTCTATATTTTTCCTTTTTCCTGTTGTTGAATTCTTGGCTCTTGTCCTAGTCTTTCCACCTGTTTGTTCTTAATGGTACAGAAAAACAGTCTACCAAGCAGATTTTTTGTGGGTGGTCGGTTGCAGTCTGTGAGAAACTCAGTTTACAAGCAGCAAATGAGGTTAAAATTAACTGGCCTCCCAGGTCTTTGTCGCAAAAATACTTCCACAGTTGATGTATGGCACCCAGATATTTAATTGTCAAAAACTCAAGTCCCTGGAATCTGTACAAACTAAATTTTATCGTTCCCTACTAGGGTTACCTACCTGTGTCTCTAACACTGCCATTAGGCTGGAGGTAGGTCAACTCCCTATTAATGCCAGGATATGGATCCTGAAGATTCACTTCTGGCTAAAACTCATATTTTTCCCAGTGGGAGTGGCTCCATTGACTCTACTAGACCCGTTCCAGTCTAAATGGAGATTGTCGCTTTATGAAAAATTGAGGGGCCTGGGGCTTTCCCCACAAGAACTCATAGCCTCAGGTTTTGAAAAGGCTAAAATGATGGTGAGCCAGCGAATAGGAGATGTAGAGCTTCAGGACCATATGAGCAAGATAGATAAATATCCAGCTATCCAAGATTATGGAAAAGGGTTTAATCTAACCCCATATTTGCTGGACCTACAAATCGCAAAATAT